TGGCTTAGTGGTTAAGAACACTGACTGGGTTTGAATCCCAGCACCCATATGGCAGCTAACAACTGTCCATTACTCTAGTTCCAGGGGATCCGACAGCCTCTTCTGTCCTCTGTGCACATTGCACGACACCGGTGCAGTTACCTACATACAGGCAATATATGCATACACATAAAAATAATAAATAAAATATTAAAAAAACTATTTGTCTCCCAACAACCTCCTTTCTTTTTGAAATTCAAAACAGTCTCCTACACAAAGTTTATATATATATTTAGAAATGCAGAAGTTAGGCTATATATATTATATTTTGTTTCTGAGGTGTTAATAGACTGGCACCCTCAATCACAGCGTGATATTGAGAAACTAAAAAGAAACTAGGCACCATGAGTGCTCAGGGGCCCACAGCCCACTTGTTATAACTTAACAGAAACCAGGACCAGCCTTATCTAAAGGCTGCAAGGCAGGTAGGCGCCGGTCAAGCTTCACAGATCAAGCTGTAAACTGGCTTTACGGTCAGAACTCCTGACCACCCTGAGGGCCCGATACCAGGAAATCTTTAGAAAACGTCTGTGCTTCTGAGGTCACCTCCCATTTAGCAATCCTATTTCCCCTTAGCCCCGGACCTTACCCCATACCTCTGCATACCTTTGAAATTACTGGTAAAATTAAATTAACCAATAACCGCGTTTCTGCTTCTGTACCCTGCTTCTGCCTTATAAAAACCCCCTGAACTCAACCTGGGGTGCGCAAGTCCTCCGAGGAGACTCTGTGCCCACAGGTACCTGTGTCCTGAATAAACCTCTTGCTGTTGCAACCCAAAGGCCGTGACTTGTCCTCCGTGGTTTCACTCTTACAACAGTATACTCAGGACTTTTTTCTCCTTACCATACATAACACATCAAAATTCCACTTGAGATGGGGGGAGGTTGGATTGTTTCCAACTCTGAATCTCCTTTCTGAAACCAACAGAAAGAACTTTTATCTAGGTTCCAGAAAAACAGGTTATGTTTTTCCTGAGCAACTCATACAACCTTTATAGTTAAGTTAAATCCGATTAAGCATTCCTCAAATTCCCCCGCAGTGTGCCATCAGATGCCATTCCTTTCCACTCTGACTTTATTCCTCACTTTCCTCACATTTTGCCTGGTCAGATACTTCATTCTCCCTGACTTCCTTACATTAAACATTTTAAGATATTGTTAAAGAGCCCATTTTAATTCCTTTCTATCAAGGTGTAGATACTATACTCATACACTGAATAAAACAAATTTAATTTCTTACCTTGGCTGTAAGATCAGAACGCTCTTGCAATTTATAAGTTTTAGAGAAAACAAGTCTGATTATCCAAAGTATTAGAATTCCTTCCAGAATAAGATGGTAAGCAGGAGCCTGAGGGTGAGTAAAAAACAAAAGCAAAGTCAAGAAATCAAAGCCCTTTCAAAGCCTGCAAAGTTCATTTCACTCTTCCCTGCTGCAGCTAATGACCTTTAGTCTAGTACTATTTAACTGACTCCCAAAGCTTCCTTAATAGTTCTTCCTTCCTCTCCTAACAGTTGGCAGTTATTTATCACATAAAACATTTCTAATACTTCAGCTTTAAAAACCTCTTCAGTAATAAAACTGAAATTTTCCAAAGATAAAATTTGACACACAATTCCGATACGTAAAAGAATACTATCATATCTTTCAGATGTTTTAAATTTTTATTGACAGGAAATGAGTCAATAACAGAACAGTTCAAAACTGACTACACCTATCACTTCTGTCTACTCGTGGATGAGTTAAAGATATGTGGAAACCAGTTTCCATATTTCTGAAAGTTTTACGCAACTCCCTGTATTTTCAGTGCCTTGCCAGATAGGTCTCTTTAAATCTTAGACTATGGAGTATCTATGGAGGGGGGTAGGGTTGGTGATAAATGCTTAAAGAAACTGCAATTCCCTTTTCTATCACAGTTACCCAAACGAAGCCACCTACTCCATGTTGATAAACATGATATCTTAGTAAGATTGTCTTGTCTTCTATATATTTTCAGGATAGAGGCCGTGATGGGTTTATTTAGAAAATAACTTTAGCGACTGGGTGCTCTATTTCAGTGTGTTGTCATTGACAAAATAACTTAACACGGCATTTAGAGACTGGGCATGGTGGCATATGCCTGAAATTCCAGGAGAATCTCAAGTGTGAGATCCACCAAGGCTACACAGTGAGACTTTATGTCCAAATACATATACACCTACAAACTTAAACACAAACTGCTTAAGGATTAGGAAGAAAAAATGATGATGCTTCACTATAGCTTAAAACATCCCACACTGGACTATGGAGGCTGAAAAACTGCTGACACATCCATATATCAACTTTCAAGTCAATGTGCAAGTACTTCTTAAACTGCATACATTCAGGTATGCTATACAAACCTCCTCAAATTCTACAAAGTACAGAGAAACTGGGAACAAGGGCAGGAGTCTCTCTTTAAGATGATTTAAACAATTTCCCGATCTCTCTTAATTAATTTAGGAATAAATCTAAACACTCTTATTTTTCTCAATAATTAGGTAGAAGTAGACAAACACCTGGCCAGTTCACTAAGGAGTGAAATTACCTGAAGAAAAGATGAGAAACTTACAGTCTAGGAACCTATTCAAACAATCACAAATGCCAGTTCTTTTTGTCCCCAGGAAATGTTACATACAAGGAGTTCTCCCAAATCGGTGTTGATCCCTTTTAGGGAATGAGAAGTTACACTGTCAAGCAGACTTTAAAAAGAGAACATAAAAGTATTCATTTCTTTAAAAATTCATTTCTTAAACCATTCAATTCTAATGATTTATCTTAGTTGCTATAAATAACCTATGATGGACCTCAGTAAATATGAGAATAGAGCAGTCGACTTTGCTCTCTCCCAAAGATTTTCCATGAAGAAATTCCCGTGTAATGGAATACACTATATTACCCACCCCAGGAAGTAGTAACTTTTGTTAACGTTGTCAAAAGAAAAGCGAAATTCACTTTCAACCAACGTGAGCTCTCGAAGCACAGGATGTATCTCAGTGCACGATCCCAGAGCTCCAGATCTGTGTGGTCAGTCCACAGCCACTGGTCCTATGTGGCTGCTGACATTCACATTAAGTTCCAGTATAAATTCACTCCCGGTGCCTACTGTCGCATGGGGTTGGTGATTGCTGTATTGAACAGCTCCGGGACAAAAGGCACCGAAAGTTCTACAGCACACAGCAGGGGAGGTCGGCTGTAAAATGAACATTCCCTCAAGACTGACATTGGATTCCATACAGTCTTAGGTATCTGAACAGAAACATGCCCAAACCCCTCAACTATTTAAAAAAACCCATCAGCATAGTCGTATGTCTAGAAGACAGAAAGCGGAATGTGGGCAAGAGAATGTTTCCTGTTCCCGCACCCTAACTCTGCAGTGACCCGCTCTCCCGGCCCCGGAGAGTTTCCAAGGGAGTCCAGCGCGCTCCTCACACCTAAGACTGCCCACTCTTCTTCTGTAAGCCGGTTTGACCCTGAGGCCCCCCGTGTCCCCGGCGCCCTCCCCTCGCGCTCCTTCCCCCGACCCCGCAGGACCCCAGGCTGCGAGAGCGGCCCAGGCCCGGACCCCGAGCGCCGTGCGAAGCGGGGGCGGGCAGCTCCGGGCTGAGGTCGCGGCGCAGAAGCCACGCCGCACCGCTCAACCAGGCCGTGGGGACACGGGAGGCTCGGGCCGCGCACGTACCTCGTACAGCGCTTGCACCATCTCCACCAGCACCCATTGCTCCGCAGCCGTCGCCATGGTTAGTCCTCCGGATTCCGGCAGGCGGGGTACAGCCACGACAAATAGTGCGCGGCTCGACTCAGTGACGTCAGCGCGACTGCGGGGGCGGGGCGCCAGGGACTGGGCGCTGTCTCTTTGCGCATGCGCACTGAGCTGGCCTGGCGTCTCAAATCTCTACCGTGGACTCCCGGTGCAGAGCAGTAGTACGTGGCCTTTGCCCTTGGCGGTCAGCTGTGCTCAGGGTTTGTGAGATGAACGAATAATCTTTAATTACAGAAGCATCCAGTTATGCAACATTATAAAAATAACCCTCAGAAATCTATTCAGAATATGTAGGACGTCCTACCCTCTAGTTTGTGCCTTATGATAGGTGAGTAGTATTTCATAGTATAGGTGTGCTCGGTGTGTGTATTCACATGTTGAAGCACCTTACAAAGAAAGCTGCTGTGAACATTGGTATAGCAAATACATATACATAAATATATATACATATATACAAACACATATATATGGGCCAAACTGGAGCTGGAGAGAAAGCTCGGTCTGTAAAGTGCTTGTCTTGTTAGCACGAGAACCCAGGTTTGCTCCCCAGCACGAGCTACGGGCCAGCCAGTCTAGCCTACTTGGGAAGTTGTAGGCCAGTGAAAGACCCTGTTCCAAAAAACAAGGTGAATGTTCCTGAGGAAGAAAACCCCCAAGACTGTCCTCTGGCCACCAAACATACACAACCCTATACACAGGCACCACACTCACACAAACTATTCCATTATGACTACTATTTTTGTGTTCCCACCAGCAACACTATTTGATGTCTCTGCACTCTCAACTAGGATTTATCACATTTTTTTACTTTGGCCATTCTTATATGTGTGTAATTATATCTAATTTTGGTTTTACTGTTTATTTTGATGGGCAATGATGCTAAAACATTTTCATGTGTTTATTTTAAATGAAATAATATTCTTTGGTGAAATGTCTATCCATGTTTTAAGTCCTCCATTTTCCACTTGGGTTATGTTTTACTATTCCACTTAGAGAATTCCATCTGTACATAGTCTACACACTGGTCTTTGGTTGGATAAATAGTTACATGGAGTAAATACTTACATCCCCTAAAGTTCATATGTTGAATATCTGATTGTTATGCAATGTTGTTGTGGTTTGATTGTCTCTTCCCAAACTCATGTTGAAATTTAATTGACTTTGTAAGATATGAAGAGGTAGGGCCTTTAAGACAGGATTCTGCACCAGGGCTCTATCTCATAATGATTTAACACTATTATCGAGAGAGTAGATTAGTTATCACAGTGGTGGCTTTGTTATATAAACCCGCTCTTCTGCATTCTCTCTTGCCATGTGATGGCTTCTGGCAGGTTATACCTCTGTAAGAAGGCTCTGGCCAGATCCTAGTACCTAGATATGGGGTTTCCTAGTTTGAACTGTGGAAGATCTGTTTCTTTTCTTTATAAAGTACCTAATATGTGGGTAGAAAACAGAGAGAGATGGTATTAGGGACTTTGGGAGGTGATCAGATATTGAGGGCAGAGCAGTCATAAATGGGACTAATGCTTTTTGAAAAGAGGCCTCAGAGAATTCCCTTACTTTTAGCAGCCCCTGGCAACCACCATCCTACTTTATGTTTTAAAGAATTTAGTTATTTTAGACATCTCCTGTATATGGAACCATGTAGTGTTTTTCTCTTATGGCTGTCTTATTTCACTCAGCACAATTGCCCTCAGTCATTATCTACTGTGCTATTGTACCAGACAAGACTTCCTTATTTTTGGAGGCTGAGTTCCCTGTGTGTATACCGCATTTTCTTTCTTGTTCATGTGTTGCTGGATATCTAGGTAGCTCTCTCTGCTTTGCTCCTGTGCAAACAATATGGTATTGTTTTATTGTTGTTTTTGAAGCAGGGTTTTGTATAGCCTATGCAGGCTTCCAACTCAACATGCAGCTGAGGATGACCTTGAACTCCTAAACTTCCTGCCTCTGCCTCCTCAGTGCTGGGACTGCAGGCATGAACCACAACACCTGGTTTAGGTGCTGTTGGAGATCAAACCCAGTGCATGCTAGGCAAGCACTCTGCCCGCTGAATTGAACCTATCCTACCATATATTTTTAAATTTTTTAAAATGGTATTTCTCTCTCTCTCTCTCTCTCATTTATTTGTATCATTCATGCATGCCATGTGGAGGTCAGAGGACAACTTGTAGGAGTCTATTTTCCCTGTCTACCGTGTGGGTCCCAGGGATCAAACTTGGGTCATAAGGCTTACCTACTGAGCCATCTTGCTAGTCTCCAAATAAGAATATTTTAAACCTGTGGGCTGACTTTCTTTTATTTTTCTTGTCTGGGGGTTGAACCCATGGCCTTATACATGCTAAGTAAATGTTCTACCACTGAGTCACACCCCCACAATATTTTTTATTTAAATAAATAATTTATTGAGAATTTCATGCATGCATATAAGGTATTTTTTTTTATCAAATCCAAGCCCACTCCTTCCCCTCCAACACCTCCCAAAACTCCCCATCACTTTTTTTCTGATAACTTCATGCACTCTTTCTTCTTCTTTGATTGATTTATTTATTTTTATGGGACTTTTGGCTACTCTAACATTCCCCCCTCTGAAGAGGTTTCCCTAAAATGTTTTAAGGATTGGATAGAAGTGCCCAAATTGGCCTTTGGAACAGAGTATGTTGCTAAGAGGCCCAAGGACATTTTGACTTTTAGCCAAGAAACTGGCTACTTTTCTTTGGGGTCTTTTTCCCCTAACTGGGGAAAAAGCCAATTCCTACCTTCTATTCTTATCACACCATCCACTGAAGAGGTTACTCAAATTGCCAATAGGGACTTGGGATGCAGACTGCTCTGGCTTCTTTCATGCTGAACAGGGATGCAGGGTGAGGAAATTGGAGTACCCCTTCAGTGGGTCTATCTAAAAGACTCCCACATTGCATAACTCTTATCTTGGTATGGGGGGGATCCTTGAATTGTGAATAGGAGAGGTGAAGGAGAAGTAAAGGCAAGAGTAATTAGAAAAAAAAGTTCTAGACAGAGAACTAGAAAAAAGAACAGGGCAATTTTCAAATGTTCATATGAGAGAATCCATTGGAATTTCTTGACAAAGGCTTCCAAAAG